TTTCGGGAGAGACAATGCGACCCTTTTTTGGAAGATTTCCTCACAGACTAGAAGATTGCAAAGATTGTATGGTAATTGACGACGATGACTTAGTACATTCAATTCCCAGTATTTTAAAAGGACAAGCAAGTCGTTGGTATAGAACCATCAGACGAGAAATCGACACATGGAAAATGTTCAAGAGAGCTTTTCGACGTGAATTTTTAACAACAGTTGACGACGACGAGGTAATTGACGAACTCAGGGCTAGACACAAGCAAAAGGAGAAAAGATTTCTTCATATTTGACAAGTTTAAGGACTAATAATGGGACATTTAAAGAGACCATTATCAGTCAAGCAACAAGTTAAAATTGCTTACAAAGGCCTTACGCCTACTTACCGTAGACAAGTTGACTCATCGAGTTTAGAATCACTGACTAAACTAGAAAAAAATTTACGACAATTTGAAAAAGTTAAAGACTTGGACGACAGATATGTTCCCCCACCATCGAAAGACAAAATGCGTTTCCCAGCCGCTGCATTCCATGGTACCAAGAAGGACGATAAGACACATGGGACCAATAAAAAATGAAAAGAAAGTAGCAGCAATAGAAGACGAGGGAGTTTGTCGAAACAAGTGAAGGAGAGAAGAAAAGTAAGAAGAAAAACGAAAAGAAGAAAAAGGACAAGAAGACAAAAGGGGAGAAGAAAGTTGAGAAAACTGACGAAAAAGTCGACGCTCTCAACCAAATGACCCCTACCACCAATATGACACCAACACCAACTCCAAATCCAGCCATGTTGTATGCAGCGATGATGGCAGGAAAATGGAAGAAGAAGCAGCAAAATAACAACTCCGTTAATACTGCTGCAGGTCAAACTGGTCCAACAAATAATGCAAGTGCACCAACCCCTTTTTATGGTGCATGTTTTTCTTGTCAGTCAGTGGGACATAGGGTGTCGGAATGTCCTTTAAAAATATGTTATGTGTGCCAACAACCTGGGCATATTGCAACACATTGCCCTAGCAGAGTAAAGCAGACAGAAATTTGTCTAGTTTGCAAAACTCCGGGGGTAAATTTCTTGACTTGCCCAAATTGTATTAATGTGAGAAACGCTTTGGGAAACGGCCCATGGGGGGCGCAGTCACTGCCTGTACCCCCCAGCAACCCCCCTCAGACCCAATAATTACTATTTCTTTTGACAAAGAAAAAGTTACAGTAATTGGGAAAAATAGGGATAAATTAGACAAAATTAAAGGTTTAAATTCATTCCCTATTAATGAAGGTGCAACATGCAGTTGGGACACGGGTGACGAGATAGTAGACGACAAGAGTGGAGAGGTACCACTCATTTGGAAAGAGGATAAAATAGGAACTGAAGAATTAAATGAGAAAAACTCATTCAAACTATTGACATGGGATGAAGGAGAGAGTAAGAATGAGAAAAACTCATTTAATTTTTCATTTAGGGATATGGAGACTAAGAGTGGGGATAGTAATCGACTTTATAAGCGGAGTTTAATTGAGGGGATGAATGATACTGATAAAGGATCAGTATCAATGTTCCAAGGGAGGGGAGAGGTTGTGAAGGGCACAACTGACCCATACCTTGATATTGACCAGGATGTAGACGGAAGCCGACTGGAAAATCGATATTTCTTTCGAATGCACATCGGCAACAATTCTTATGAGGCACTATTTGACCCTGGAGCGATGATATCTGTGATCAGCGACAGAGTGGCAGAGCCATATAGGAACCGACTACAGCCATGCAATACCTCAATAAGGAGTGCGATTGGTGGCAAGACAGAGACAGCAGGGTTGTTAAAACTGAATATAACAGTTGACGGACATTCAAAACAGTTTGACGTTAAAGTTCTCAGTTCAGTTACACAAGACATCATTCTGGGCATCGACTTTTGTAAAGCTTGAAATATGGAAGTTCAACTTGGACCTGGTCTCTGGAGAGTATTTGATGGTGATTGGCATGTATTCTGTGTCAAAGATGTTATCGAGGGCGAGGAAGAAATTTATGCTGAATGTGCTGGTATCTCTGCGTTGACGGACCAACAAAAAGATATTATTCAAGACCTGGTGAGAAAATTGGTACTACCACCATCGGAAGAACTACCAATGACCAACTTGACTGAACATCACATCAGGGTAACTGACGAAACCCCTGTCCAACACAGACAAAGACGTATGTCGCCGATAATGATTACTTGGTCACAGAAAAATACAGCAGAATTGTATAAGAAAAAGTAATCGAGCCATCATGCAGCAATTGGAGGACAGCTCCAGTTTTGACGCCTAGAGGGAATGGTGACTTTCGACAATGTTTGGACTTCAGAGACGTTAATAAGGTCACAATAAAGGACATGTACCCATTGCCGACCATTGACTCTATTTTGGACAAATTGAGAAAAGCCAGATATATCTCAAAAATTGACTTGACGCTAGCCTATCACCAAATTCCATTATCCCAAGAGAGCAAAAAGTATACAGCTTTTGCTATCCCCGGATCAGGACTTTGGCAATACTGCCGAATGCCTTTTGGACTTGTGAATGCTTCGAGTACTTTTCAGAGACTAATTGACTCTCTTTTTGGACCAGAAGTCGAACCTTATGTGTTCGGATATCTTGACGATATCATCATCGTGACGGACAACTTTGATGAACATATAAAAAGGTTAGAATTTGTTTTAGAGGAACTGAGGAAAGCAAATCTGGCTGTTAATCCTGACAAGTGTGAATTTGGATGTTCACAAGTCCGATATTTGGGATATTTATTAGACGAGGAAGGATTACGACCAGATCCAGAGAAAACAGAAGCAGTACGAAGCTATCCACCACCTACGAACGTCAAACAACTAAGGAGATTCCTAGGAATGGTCGGATGGTATTCAAGATTCATCAAAAATGACAGTGAGATCAGACTGCCACTTTTTAAGATGCTGCATAAAGGACGACCATGGGAATGGGGAGACGAACAACAGGAAGCCTTCGACACTTTGAAAATAAAATTGACGACAGCACCAGTACTCGCTCGCCCTGACTTTAATTTGCCTTTCACAATCCAGTGTGATGCAAGTAGTTATGCCCTTGGCGCCGTTCTGACTCAGGAATTTGATGATGGAGAACATCCAGTGATGTATATCAGCCGAGTTTTGACTGGTGCTGAAAGGAACTATTCTGTGACGGAAAAGGAGTGCCTAGCACTACTTTGGTCTATAAAAAAATTCAGACCTTACATTGAAGGATATAAATTCAAGGCCATTACTGACCATTCAGCTTTGAAGTGGCTGAAGAATCTAAAGGATCCGACTGGAAGACTCGCAAGATGGGCTTTGGAGATGCAGAACTGGGACTTTGAGATTATTCACAGAAAGGGTGCATTAAACCAAGTTCCAGATGCATTATCAAGAATGACCGAAGATGACGAATTGATTGATGCTTTCGAGACGATTGAGGATCAATGGTACATCAGACGACGGGAAATGATCAGAAAATTTCCAAACAGATTTCCTGGTTGGAGAATTGAAAATGACCTTTTATACCGTCATCGTAGTGATCCCTTGCTCCTCCCTATTATTGGTGATGAAGACGGATGGAAGCTGGTTGTCCCAGATGAACATAGACTAAGGGTGTTAGACGATGCTCATTCTATTCCATCTATGGGACATTTAGGAGTAGAGAAAACATATGACAGGGTTGCAAGAGAATACTATTGGCCAGGAATCTGGAATGACGTTCACAAATTTGTGACTCATTGTGTAAAATGTCAATTACACAAAGTATCTCAAGCCGGACCTGTAGGAATGATGGGACAGAGAATAGTCGAAAAACCATGGGCAGTAGTTGCAGCTGACACGATGGAATTCCCACCAAGCAAAAGTAAATGTAAATATCTTGTTGTTTTTCAAGACCTGTTTTCGAGATGGATCGAATTGAAACCTTTAAGATCTGCAGATGGGAAATCTGTGACTAAGGCGTTCGAAGAATTGATCTTATTCAGATGGGAGACTCCAGATTTCCTTTTGACTGACAATGGGAAAGAATACGACAACAAGACTCTCAAGGAAACACTTGACGAATATGGGGTGAAACATATTACCACACCACCCTATCACCCTCAAGCTAATCCTGTAGAGAGAAGTAATCGGATTTTAAAGACCATGATATCTACATTTATTGGAAATGATCATCGAGACTGGGACCTGCATGTTCATGAATTTCGACATGCAGTCAACACCGCCACTCAAGCTGCGACAAAGACATCTCCCGCATTTTTAAACTTTGGTCGACATCCTCGACCAGTGAAAAGTTTAAGACGAGAAGTTGAGAGTAGAGACAAAGTACGAAAAATTTCACCTGAAGTATGGATAGACAGGGTTAAAAGACTTGACGCATTACGCGACTTAGTAACAAAATTTATTGACAAGGAGAAAAATAGACAGACTGAGTATTATAATAAAAACCGACATAAAGTTGACTTTAAGGTTGGTGATTTAGTACTTAGAAAATCGCATAAACTATCAAGTGGGGCACAAAAATTTGCAACAAAGTTAGCTCCTAAATTTGAAGGTCCATTTGAAATTATTAAACAATTATCTCCTTCAGTTTTTGTATTACGTACCCAAGACAGTCGTAGAAATCCAAAAATCCATGTCACAGACCTAAAGAAATACTTACCCAACTAATTTAAAATACAATTTTGACTAATTATTTGATTACTTTTAGGTTTCGACAAATTGACTTGGGTGAAATTGACCGTTAAAGTGGAAAGATACCGAGAGAAGTGTGACAAGGGGAAGTGGAGGACAAGAGTATCTGGAAGACGATCACCTTACTACCATCAAACGAATATGTCACGACGTGGGATATTACGTGGAAAAGCTGCACTCCGACACCAACCAATGGAGGAATTCCAACCTCCTAGAAATTTGTCGGAACCACCATCGATATTGGACTTCCCAATTCATGACTCTGGTAAGAGAAGACCACTGAATATGACACATCAACGTGCTGGAACTGACCTAGGGAAGGGAGATGTTAATGAAATTTCGACAATAGATGTAGTAGATCCAATTTCATTACCAAAGGCAGAGAGAGCTGAGACTATTTTGCGGCGTAAAGAAAATGAGAACTGGGCAGAGTTTGGGAGCAGACTTGCTGTCGAGGAACTGGACAGATTCGTGAAGTCATTAGACCCAAAAACTTCTGTGACCATCGAAAAATTAAAAGAACATCAATCCATCGAATTGAATGCCAGAAAACATGTTATCACCAAAGAAGATCTAGTTAGTCTAAATGATGATGATATTGACGAGGCTCGCGCAATAACTCCTCCTGGACCACCGACGAGAACCATAACTGGAAATCCTAATTTGACGATAGAAGCAGGGAATTCTAGAGACACTCTCCTAACAGTGACGAGGGAAGCCTTACCCAGAAAGACCACCGGTGTAATGTTCGATGACATTGAATCGATCCCCACCGATCCAACAGTTGACCCTCCTCCAAGAGTCTGTCAAAATTGTTGGAGGAAGGGTCACTATCGAGCGAAGTGTCCAAAGGAGGTGACTGAGGCCAGTTGCGAAAACTGTGGTCGAAAGTTCGAAACAGTGGCTACTTGTCCACGTTGTGCTGCGGGTTACCGGAGATTCCTACTTAGAGGAAAAAAGGGTAATAAGAAAAACCTTCAAATAACAAGGGGTGAAAGTAAGGTGGAAGATATAGATAATGTGCCAGAGAGGCAAAGTAGGGAAGGAAATCCACTTCTGCCTCCAATATGGACAAGGGAAGTCAATTTGGGAGTAAATGTAGGAGGATATGGTAATAATTATCGTACATGGCAGATTCCAAAAACGCCATCTCCAGCTATATCGAGAAATCCATCGACTGAGTCATTATTTGACGAAAATATGACTGCAACACCAGTAAAAATTCTTGATAATAACATCGGTTCAGGAAAACTCCCGATTTTTGATGAAGGAGATTCTAGTGAACCACCTGCCTATAGTGAAGTTGAGCCGAGGAAGGAACAACCATCTGACTTGATTACCGCTATCCGTGAGATTACGATGGTGATGGAAGGATTACCTGTAGAAACCATCAACATGGCTATTCGACAATTAATTCGGGAAAGGGAGAAAAAATTAGACAAGGATTAAGCAAAGTAAGAATATCAAAATTTTTTTTTGTACGAAATGTGACTAAAGTTAAGCAGCACTACGAAATTTTCTTTTGTTTAATTTAAGATGTAATAATTTGATTTTGTTTCTTCATATTATATTCAGATTACACGTCGACCTTTTTGTTGTATGGAAGAATGATATATTTTTTTTGTTATTAATAGTAATTTGAACTATGAATACTAGTTTCTTTTTTTTTGTTGTTATGAAGATTTTTAGTTTCTTTCTTTTTTTTTGTAATTGGATCTACAGATGGTAGTTCAATTCCTAATGGGGAAGTGTTGTGACGAAGTAGTTTCGTCAAAGTTATTTTTCTTTTAAAGTTTTATTATTTCTTTACGTATTTAAATTTATCATTTTCGCGCGTATTTTTGACTACGGTGTATGGGAGATGAAAACTCCCCTTTATACTAGCCGGCGCGCTTTGAAAATCTAGCAGACGACAAGAACACGTTTGAGTTGTTGAGAGAGTTGAAAATAAGTAGTTAAGAGAGAAAAGAGTGTTTTATCGAAATATGAAGATTTTGTAAATGGACAAGGGAAGCGAGGGTGAATAAGGATTTTGTAAGGATATTACTGTTTGGACGAGTAATAAAGAAGAGTTGTAAAAAGGAAATATAATTGTGGAGTTCTTGACTTTATTTATCTTTATTAAACTTGACGAGAAACCTTCTCTTGGAATAAATAAAGTAAGTACGTTTATTTATCATTGAAAGTCGTGTCTCAAAAGGTTAAATTATTCCCTTATTAACCTATATTTTCTAACGGAATCTCCTTTGAGAAAATTAGTGAAATTGTTATTACTTGGTCGTGTTATTGAATATCATATCTTTTTAATTTTTGTTAATTTTTATAAAAGAAAATTAACTGGCGTCTGACTACCTCGTTGGTAATGAACAGATTTTTGACGAGCAAGGGAAAAATGATTTATTAAATTTTGCATAACTTTTAATTTATTATTAAAAGAGTCGTCATACATTATATATGTATATATTAAATGAGACTAAAAATGTAGTCACAAAACAAATAAATAAAATAAAAACCACTAAAAGAAAGACGAAAGAAAACGAAGGAAGGGGATTTGGTGGTCGCCTTCTTCTTTCCTCTTTATTTTAAAAATTTCTTCTAAAATAAAATTAACAAAATACTAATAATTGACAAAATAATAATAATAAAATCGGAAATAAAATTGTATAAAAATCAAATTCATTATAAATTACAAAAACAATAAAGGTAAAAAAACAACCTTTAAACATCATATCGCACATCGATATATCGATCGATATCTAATTCGATATACTAACAAAAACATTAGTTAATACAAAAATTATAGAAAAGGAAAATTAAATTGTTATGCTAAGACTTAAATTATCATTAAATATCACAAATAATTAATCGTAATATTAGAAATTACAATAAACAATTCAACATATCGATCGATATATCGTTCGATATTCTGAACCGATATTACATACACATAATACAATATAATTAATTTTGCAATTTTAAACAATTAAACAATTAAACAATTAACATAACAAACAAAACTCATAAAATGTGAAAAGAAAATGATTAATAACCAAATTAATAGTAAAAATTCATCAAAAACCATCACAAAAACTATAATAATTCAAAAACCCTAGAAAAACGAAATTCAAAATTCCCTATATAATACAAATCCAAAATACAAAATATTAATAATAAAAATTATTCCACAGATGAATATTCCAATCTTGGGTTCCATCTCGGAAGCAATGGACTACATTTCTGTCGCATTTAAATTACTACTATTATTATTAGCAATAATAGTCATTAAAAATCTGTATGTTTGTTATAAAGTAATACCTATGCGAAGACGTCGATCAAACAACCCATCCCATATTTAATCAACCATTGAGGACAATGATCGTTTTAAGGAGGGAGGACTGTCAACAAAAAATTTCAAATCTAAGTAAATGTTATGTCCTTCGCTACAATAATATCAAAACACTATGTTAACGGAGCCTAATGTTACCATTATTCTTGACGTCAACCGTGTATCGACCGCAACTATCGATTTTTCATAGAGATCACGCGACATGTTTATGCTCTATCTCTCTCCGCCTTGCGTAGCAACGACTTGCGTCTCTAAGTGCGTGCCGTCCATACTGTGAATCGACCACAGCAGCGATCTTAGCTTAATGTGAGACACCATGCGACGAGTATGTTCTGTCTCGCTCCCTGCCTATAGCAGCGACGATTATTCTACTGTACGCGCCGTCTTTAAAAACCTCTCAACACAAGTATCAAATGAAAATTATACTCGCCATTATCCTAATATATTCAGAAATCTTTTATTATGACTCAATCACTATGTTAAAATAAACATTTCCTTTCAATAAATTATAATTCTGTAGATTGATGCTTTATTAAAGGTGATTACTAAATACTAAAGGTGAGGTATATAAAATAAACATATGCAATCAAAACAAATAAAGACAGTTTAAAAATAATTATTAAAGAATTCAACCATTATAATTCGAATAATATTGTTCAATTATAAAATAAAAATTCATTGTAAAAAAAAGGAGAAAAAGAAAATGCGTATAAATGTGTCTGTGTGTAAAATAATTGATTACAATAAATCTAGATCAATCTCTTCTTTGATACACAGGCACACAAAAAAATAAAAATGTCAAAACCCAGAGGTTACACCCCCCTATCCCCATGTCTTTGGGGTCGCTAAAACTGAATATGACCATTAAAAACTTTTTTCATCGGCTATTTTCCCGCTACCACCCCCTTACACCTGCTCCCGGGGGTTGGAATTTCAGTTTTAAAAAAAGTGGAGTAGGGTGTCTATTCTTATGTTTTTTGGGTCGCTTAAACCAAGAAAGACTACCAAAAACAAATTCTTCCCTCCCTTGACCCCCTACAACTCCCTTAACAACCCTGGGGTGAGGGGTCGAAATTTGAATTTTCACGAAAAGTCGATTACGGTGTCTAAACCTACCTACCTACCTACCTACCTACCTACGTAGTCTTTTTTAGTTTCAGCGACCCAAAAAACGTAGGTTTAGACACCGTAATCGACTTTTCGTGAAAATTCGAATTTCGACCCCCCACCTTTCGGGTATTAAGGGGATTGTAAGGGATTAAGGGAGGGAAGAATTTGTTTTTGGTAGTCTTTTTTGGTTTTAGCGACCCAAAAAACATAGGAATAGACACCCTACTCCACTTCTTTTTAAACTGAAATTCCAACCCCCGGGAGCAGGTGTAAGGGGGTGGTAGCTGGAAAATGGCAGATGAGAAAAATTTTTCATGGTCATATTCGGTTTCAGCGACCCCAAAAACATGGGGATAGGGGGGTGTGACCTCTGGGTTCTGACTTTTTTATTTTTTTGTGTTCCTGTGTAATTGAACCGCCGACGAGAAGAGGCGCCCCGCAAGAACAATATCCACCATCATATTTAGGCGGAAAAACTTGCCCACAAGAACAAAAATAGGAACTGGAAGTCCCAACACTGAAATTAACAAAAGTAAATTTTAAGTTCCACCCACATAAAATATCACATATAACAAATACATATGTGCAGCAATAAAATAATAAACTACCTTTGAGGTTCTGGCATGGTCGAAGGTTCGTCTGTCTCCTTCATGTACTCCATGATAAGGTGATTCAACTCCACAGCCTCCGAGATCGAATTCGCTCTTAATCGCTGTAATTGATCTTGCCTTATTACCCTTAATTCCGATATTGATATATAATTCGAATTTTTCTTTGGTCGGCCTCTTTTCCTTCCCCGAATTTTGTCAGCCGCAACATGTTGATATATCACATCACTCAATTGTAAATCATGAATAATTGAGACCGATAACCCCATTGCTTTTTTAAAAATTGCTGCAAACTTCCATACGAATTACCAGAAGAAGGAACACTTTCGGCCATACCTGAAAACAACAATAAAAGAAGAAAAGAATTAATAAGTAATAATTAATAAAGAACGCATAGTCACACATATATTACACTCATTCTTCATCCAGATGAAATCCTTCTTTTAAAAACAACAGACTCGAAGTTAAAATATTATTCTTCAATGAAGCCGATGACACTTTGATTAAAACTCCAGCCCGTTTGCATTCTAAGGGTTGCACAAGTTCAAAATCCCTCTCTGTCACATTCCATTTTAAACGTTCACGACAAATATTGACCATTGTCTTTACGGCTAAATCAACCTTCACTTTCCAAAATGCCACATAAAATAAACCCAATCGTTCTTCAACAAATCGCAATCTACGAGATAACCCTGCTAATTTTGTAAAGGAAGGCACACAAAATTCTGGTCTCACAATAGGACTCGGAGTCTCTAATAAATTAACTTCGGTCAAACTATTATCAAAAGCGTTTAAATCAAACTCCTGTACATAATGAGAAAACTCCGAGTTGTTAATACACTCATTCGAGGAATCAATTTCATTCAATTCAAGAACACTCCGAATTTCACTGTCCATATTTATTAGTTAAAAGAACATCACTTTTACACTAATAATTGAATACTCACCAGGATATTCAATTGTAGTTGCTGCATCAATAATTTCCCCTTCCTTTTTGGGTTCGTATATGATAGTAGAAGCTGAAGAAGAACATCTACTTTCCATCATTAAGGATTACAATAGACTAAATCAACATCACGTTCTGAAACTGCACATCTGAATGCCCCACTACTAAACGCAGACAAAAATGCATGTGATCATATAATACAGAAGACAAAGTTCAAAAAGGATCAAAAATTACTTACCTCAGAAAAACGGATAAAAGTTACACAGCACGATCTAGACGAAATTTTTTGTAAATCTCTTCGAATTTTAAAATTCATCGGGACGATGAATAATCTAAGGGGGGAGGACTGTTACATCCCTAGATATAACTTTTCAAATTAATTATAAGGTTACATATATAATTTCAATAAAAACAACACAAAAAAGATTATAAAATATGAATATATGCATATATATATCTCAAACAATTAATAAATAACATGTAACATAAATACTGTATATATATATATATATATATATATATATATATAACAAGAATGTTAAACCCTGTAAGATAAATTAGTAACTCGCGCATATGAGTTACCATCTAAGACAATTGAAATTATAATCGACCGTGATCTAGAGAGGTGCGATGAGTGGTTGGCGGTCGGTTCATTATCTACACTCATGGTAATTAATCTGCCGCCGCTCACTTACCATAAACAGCGCAAAGTTATATACGCGTAAGAAGGTTCTTGATTTAGACACCAGAGTCCTGAATTCAAAACTATAAGCGTGAATGCAGGTAAAATGACTAAGTATATGGAAGTTTAAACAAATTATTGTTAAAGCGAGTGTCATATTACCTGTCTATGTTAATAATTATTATAAATGAAATGAATACTAACTACGTGCTTTCTAAAAATCGGCTAGAATACGTGACTACGTGACTTATAGATTTTAGCTCGATTACGTGCCTTTCAAACAAATCATCCCTAATCAAGTAGATTTTAGCTACTATATAAACCCCTAGCTTTCTTAGAGCAATTGTCAAATACTCCGGTGTGTTTCTGCCCGAACGGTATCGTCGAGTCGGCTCTTCGATTGTAATATTGAGTTGTAGAATCAGTGTTAAACATCAAGAGAATATTTGTTTTCTGTAAGGAAATAACTTGCACTATTCTTAATTTATATAATTACTTTCGTCGTATAATAGTTCAATTTTACTATTCTCTTTCTAATTTAATAAAATTAGTGCAAGTTCTTTCCGATTACTAAGAAGACAAGTTTTCTTTTGGTATCAAGGTACAGTGTCAGAAAGAACACTTAGAGTTTGTGAAAAGAGCTATCGAAATAGTCGTTTTAGTGCTAAAAGTGCTAAAATACGAACTAAAAACTTATAACTACATACTACTTGTACTACGGTGACGCAAGCCTGGTTGCAGTCACATCATTGTAATCTCATTATCAACAAAACTTCAAAATTGTAAGTAACTGTAATTGTTTAAACTAAACATTATAAATAAACAATCACATAAAAGGGAATATGCATATATTTTTAACGGAAACCCGTAGTTTCTTTAAAGTCAAACGAATTCACACTTAAAAATAAATGTCAAGTCTTACCAACTTGACTAATCATCAACTTGTCTCCATTTTACTAATAAATTAGTAAACTAATCTAAACCTTAGCTCGGGTCGTAACAATTCCAAATTGTACCAGGTAGCAAATTTGTTTATTTCGTCCAATTATATTGTTGTTAAAATAGAATCATACAGCATGAATTTCATATTAGCTCTATTTTATGTATCACCCGACTCTGATTTTTTAATCTTTTTTGATAATTGTAATATAATATTGACTTCAATTAATGAAAGATTTCCTGAACTACCGATAGTTGTGGGTGGAGACTTTAATTGTAGGCTTGCCGCTCTGAATCAACTTGACCTCTCCATGTTCACAGAATTTTGCAATTTCACCTCGCAGAGATATTCAAATAACTTAATTTCAAATGCACGGGGTAAAAAACTGGTAAATATTATGGAATCGTATAATTATGTGTTATTAAATGGACGTTCGTCTAGCGACACACAGGGAAATTTTACGTTTATTGGACCACAGGGTCGTCGTGTTATTGATTTGGTGTGGTGCTCGGCAATTGGACTGTTCGCATTTTCTGACCTAAGTGTTCTTAATATACCAACCCTCTCCGACCATTACCCTGTAGTTTTATATTTTAACTTAATGTCTGCAATTAGAGAAGAGGTTCCGTCGAATATGCCGTGTAAGCTTTTGTTCGATATAAACAAGGCTGATGAATTTACTTCTGAGATGGCTTGGAGAGAGGGCGTGTGTGATCTGGATGGTGATGTGGATGATATGAATGCTATTATTACTGAAAATATTTTTTATGTTGCCAACGAATTAAATTTTTATCGTAGATTTTCGAACGTTTATAAGTTTAAACAGAAACCATGGGGTGACGCGAAATGCAGAGCGGCAAGGAAAAAAGTAAGGGCGGGTCTAAAGCTTGCAAGAAGTAGTGATTTTTCTGTGGATTCAAGAAATGTACTGGTGAGGAAGAAACGCGCTTTGAAGAACCTTATTAATACAAAAAGAAAAAATTATCGTAGGACTTTAATTAATAAATTATCACACTGCAATCAATCAGGACAATTTTGGTCCATTATCAATACCTTCAGAGCGCGTCCTTCTCAACCATCTTGTATTAACCTACCTACCTGGTGGAGATATCTCCAGTCTTGTTTTCCTGTGAAAATTTTCCTTCATCTGCCCTGCGGAAAGTACTTTTTTAAACATCTCTCACCCTGTTTTGGATGGTTGCATTACGTATGAAGAGTTATTGGTGAGTTTGGCGCATTGTAAAAATGGAGGGGCTCCGGGAATCGACGGAATTGGCTATTCTTTT